CGGCTGCAGTGACAACATCAACTACGGGATCCGGTTTGCCAAAGCCTTTGTGGACGCCAAGGAGAAGAAAGTGAAGGATGCCCGGGCGCTGATGAACCTGCACAACAACCGCTGCGGGAGGATGGTGAGTGCAGCCCCCGCAGCCAAGCCCTGCGCCCGGCCAGCCGCCCCACCGGGACCTCCCGGCAGGGGAATGGGCAGCGGGAGCGGCTCAGGCATAGGAGCAGGGTCCCGGTGCAAACAGGGGCAGGACACTGCCCTGCCTTCCCGATGCCCCCCTGCACGCTCTGCCCGGGGAACGGCCCTGTGGGAGTGGCAGGACCCTGCTTACCTTTGCCCGCAGCACGTGTCCTCGCTGACGCTGGCATCAGCGACGGTGGGAACGCGTCCTCTGTACGCGGCACCCCTCTCTGTTAGGAGCCCCATCCCGCACAGGCGAGGGCTGATAAGCCGCACCAGGGACAAGCAGACCCAGGCACGATGTCCGATGGCCAGGGTGACCGCCGGTCCTCACAGCATCCCTCTTCCCACAGGCCGTGAAGCGTTTCCTGAAGCTGGAGTGCAAATGCCATGGGGTCAGCGGCTCCTGCACACTAAGGACTTGTTGGCTGGCAATGTCAGATTTTCGAAAAACGGGGGATTACCTAAGGAAGAAATACAACGGGGCCATCCAGGTGACAATGAACCAGGACGGCACTGGCTTCATGGTGGCCAACAAGAACTTCAGGAAGCCCACGAAAACAGATCTGGTGTATTTTGAGAACTCACCTGATTACTGCGTGATGGACAAGTCGGCAGGTAAAAACCAAAGCTCCAGTCGTTGCCCAAAAGCAGCTCCTCCTCCCCTGCTGACAGGCCAGGAGCTCCCAGCTAGCCCAGCCTGGCAGGGCTGCTTTGGGACATCAGCTCGCCCACCGAACCCGGCTGGGGGTTGCGCTGTGCGGGGTCACCCAGGCCCTCAGCGGGTGTGGGGGCTTGCTGGAGCACCTCGCACCAGCGCAGACAGGACTGGGTTTGTCCAAAATCCCCAGGCTTTACAGCGAAGGTCCAAACCCATCAGGCTTCTCGTAATGAATGTAGCGCAGTGTTTCCTCAGAGCCTTTCTCCTGCAGAGCAAAGCTCCCTTAAATAGGCAATAAAGAGCCCGGTTAGCGCGGCAGGCTGCCGGCTTCTCCTCCGAACACAGCCCGAGGCTGGGATGAGAGTGGGGAAGGCGGCGTCAGGGCTGCTCGGCTCCCGCAGAGATCAATGGTTTCCCAGCCTGGAGCATCCCTGGGTCGGGGGTTCACAGTAGCCGTGGGGGCTCGGTGGGGAAGGCAGCACGTGCTCCCGCTGCCCTTCAGTGAGCCCTTTGCCCGAGCAGGGGGGCATTTCCAGCTTTGCCAAGCTGCAAAGCCCGGCTCAGCGGGCGTACACCGGGCCTCCCCCGGCACAGAGCCCGGCTCAGCGGGCGTACACCGGGCCTCCCCCAGCACAGAGGGACTGCACGGAGCCCATTCCCCCTGCTCTCACGCTCTGGGCAGCAGCGGGTGCAGGCTCCAGCAGCGGGTGTGGGGAAGGGGCCGTGCAGAGGGTCACCAAAGCTGCGTCCCTGGCCAGGCTCACTACCCACGCTGCAACCTGCGCCCGGCACAGAGCCCGGCTCAGCGGGCGTACACCGGGCCTCCCCCAGCACAGAGGGACTGCACGGAGCCCATTCCCCCTGCTCTCACGCTCTGGGCAGCAGCGGGTGCAGGCTCCAGCAGCGGGTGTGGGGAAGGGGCCGTGCAGAGGGTCACCAAAGCTGCGTCCCTGGCCAGGCTCACTACCCACGCTGCAACCTGCGCCCTTACCAAAGCGAGCACAGGCTCCGCAGCGGGCGCCCAGCCTTTGGAGACCACGCTGTGGCATGTGCTGTGGCAGAAACGACGAGATTTGACCACTGCTAAGGCAGTCATATCCCAGGTCTCCACTGCAGATGGTCGGTGCCCAATCTCACCACTGCCAACAACCGCGGGGCAGGGGGTGGGGGAAGCATTTGAACAGGGTGGAGGAGGAACACCCTGACCCGCTCTCGCTTCCTTCTCCAGGCTCCCTGGGCACGGCCGGTCGCGTGTGCAACAAGATGTCCCGCGGGACGGACGGCTGCGAGGTGATGTGCTGCGGGAGGGGGTACGACACCACGCGCGTCACTCGCATCACCAAGTGCGAGTGCAAGTTCCACTGGTGCTGCGCTGTGCGCTGCAAGGAGTGCGAGGACACTGTGGACGTGCACACGTGTAAAGCACCGAAACGGGCCGAGTGGTTGGACCAGACCTGAGGAGACGGGAACACAGAGGGAAGAATCCACTGCCACCCCCCCTTGCAATTTTTAAAAACCCTGTGCCCTGAGGGCCATGACATTCTGGGAGCTGTAGTTCAACTTGCATGGCTTTTATTTAATTAATTCTGCAAAGCACTAAAGAAAGGACTACACTTCCCAGGAGGTACTGTGGACCCTTCTATTTGCTCAGCAAAACTAATCCCCTACCTAGGAGGAGTCTGCAATCCTTGCTTAAACTGTGAAACTGCCGTTGCCCGTTGTTCTCTTTGCAAAGGGACGATGCAACCGAGACGGACTTGGAGGACCAATCATCTGGATGCGATGGCTGAGGAAACCTGCACCTCCCCAGAGAATTTACATTGCGGTAAAGTTTCACCGGCAAAAAACACTAGTTCAGAATAATCCACTCTTGCAGAAAGCATTCTTGCTTTTACTTTTTTGCAAGGCCAGAGGAAGGGTGTTGCGAATCCATAAGACAGTTCCGTGAGCCCTGCATTTCCCTCGAGCAGACCCGGCACACCACCCCTGGCCGCACCGCTGACCCCACTGAGCAAAGGCAACCTCTGCACGAGGCTTCTGCCCGTCTCCCCTGCGAAGGCGGCAAGCGGAGCTGTGAATTGGAACTGAAACCTGAATGACTGCACAAAGACGAGGGCCACCCCTAGATGCTGGCAGACAGAGAGGGCTAGAGAAAGCAAACAAAATCTGTGAACTTACTGGTAGGTTCTGAAGTCGACAGATACAACAGCGTCTCTGTAAAACTCACTTGTATGTTGTGTATACTGCTTATTATTTTAAGTCAAAATTCATTATAAACCTATATCAGAAAATTATGTTCTTTGCTTTTCGAATTCCTACACACCAGTCGGGCACTTCCCCAGAGCGGGAATCAGCCCGCAGCATTTCTTCTACCTGTGTGCTTGCAGCTCCCGTGGTCCTAAAGCACAGACCTCCTGGCCACGGGAGTTATCCGTTGTTTCCCCCAAAGCAGAGCCATGGCATCCAGCGTGCAAAGCCCCACAGGAATCCTTCATAAGCAGCAGCACGCTCCAGGACATCAAATGGCAGAGCACTGGGTCAAGCAGGAGATGCTAGATTAGCTTCCAAACCTTTTCTGTAAAAAAACCAAACACCCAAAACTTAAATATCAACTAAAATTGAAGCTGATGAGAGGAGGGGCAGGCAGCTGCAGAGCTGCCAGCAGATACATTACAGAGATCAAACCTCTCATCTCTGGAAATTTCCTCAATATTTTTTTCCCCCCTACTTGGGCAAGCAGTGATTACAAAGATGCTTTATTTAGTGTACAGATACTCTATAGAGTTTGATCAAAAGATACCAATCCACACAAACAGACTTAACGTACAAGTAAGACAGTTGAACCTGCAAACTACATTGACCCAGGTTAAAAAAACCGTTTACCTTAATCATCGCAATTCCTGAGCACATGCTGAAGCTGATAGGGGTGCTTCTACACTTCCCTCCCAGAGCTCGGTGCCTGTTGCCCCAGGCAGGCTGTGCTTTCTCCCGGACCCAGGAGAAACGCTGCTAGTTTTCCTGATGTTGATCATCATTGTGCTGATGGGCACACTCAAAGCAAGTTTTCATCAAAGTTACAAGCTTACATCAACAATGGGAAAGGACAAGTCAACAGCAACATTCATCTGCAAATATTTTTAAATGGGGTCTGCTTTCACGCTGCTATGGCTGCTAGAGGGGCTGTCAAAGCTCTCCGAGGAGTCAGGGTTTTCTCCCGGCACCGGCGAGATGTGTGGGCAGAGGGAGCTGAGCAGGCTGCAGCGGCGATGTCTGAAGGAAGGTCAAAGTAGCAGGATGGGATTAAGGCAAAGAAGATTATCCTGGTCCTAAGCCACCCATCGGCTACTGCACGAAGAGCATCTCTGAACAGGGATTTTACCCAATGGCCCTAGGAAATACTAGTTTAAGTGGTGAGAGAAAACCGCTTTGAAAACTGCTTTGATGGACTGCTCAAAGAATTTAAAGAGTCTGCCATGGGCCAGATTAGAGCACCTTACTCTGTGCCAGACCACCGAGATTGCTCGTGCAGAAAAAGGGCCTTCAGCAGAGCTGCTGCAGAGCCGCATACAAGCAAAAAGGTGACATTTTAACAGAGCTCTTCAAACAGCTACAGGAATCCCACCTCCCCACTGCCTAACCCATTTCTTACAGAATTAAACCATCTCCCTTTTGAATCCCACGCTGACGGCAGGAGAGGGCTGAGCAGCACCTTTCGCCCTCTCTGCTCTTGCAGAACTCGCGCTCGAGCTGGTGTTTACCTGGGAGGCTCCCAGGCCTCACCCCTCTGAATTTCAAGGAGAGGCAATTTCCCCAAAGATTTGCTCCGTCTCGGCTGTGCCGAGGAATGCTGGCAGGTGAGCGGGAGGTCTGAGCCAGGCCAAAGGCATTTCAAGCCTGCCGTAGCACAGCGTCCGTCAGCACGCAGGCTAATCTACCGGGAAGAGCTCCCTCATTTATCTTCATTACTGCTCCACCTACCATCAATTTACGACAGACTTTAAAAAAATGCTGCCCCCTCAGCAATCAATCCAAGCCTCCTCCCTCCTGCTCCCAGAGCAGGACTCGCTCTGTGGGCTGGGAGGGACCCAGTGCCAGGGGACCCGGGGTCGGCCGTCGATAAACATTTCTTCCTCTCCAGAGGACCCCTGGGAGGTGTCTTCCAGCAGAAATACTGCTCCGAAGCAGATCTGTAGGCCTACCTGATGAATGACACCTTAATCAATGGCTGCTGCCAAAATACGTCTTCCCTCTGCATGCAGATGTTCAACATTTTAAAACAAAGGAGAAAACTCCCGAGGACAGGTTGTCTTGGGTTTATGGGCTTCCCCCCTCCCCGTGTCATCACCGAGGTACTAAAACTGGATGCCTTCAGCACTCCATAGAACCACCATAGTGAGAAGGCAATCATAGCGCTGCCGGCTCCGCTGGCACGACGGGGCTCCCTGCCCAGCTGCCTTCCCCTGCCACGGCGCAGCAGAAAATCAAAGGAGTAGAAATACCTGGAAGCAGGTACCAGCATTACAGAAGCACCTGGAGGAGCAGGCGCGGCAACGGCCCAACAAGCTCGAGTCGACCCGACAGAAGAGGTGAGCCTTTCTTCTGCAAAGGGCTGTGGAAGACTACGCTCGCTTCTTGTTTATTAACAAGCAATTAGCAAAAGCACAAAGCCTGGGAATCAGAAATACACGGGTTAGCTAGAGCTCACTCCCACTGCTTGTGCAAGGAGACGTCCCATTGCGGGCTGAAGGAAATTCAGACTGGTCTGTCTTCTCACAGATGCGCCCTACCGAAGCTCCCCTTCAGCACACTCATCCTCAGCACGCAGATGTTTTCCATCTACAAATGTTTATGAAGGCTGCAGTCTCGTCAGGGAACACTCGGTTCCTCTCACAAGCCCCTCTCTTAAGTAATCCGCCTAAAATGTGCAGGGAGCCTTTTATGCAAGATCATCTTCTAATTATCCTCCAGTCAAAAGCATGCCTGAACTCAAGGACAAGGAGCAGAATTAATTGCTTGATGAGCTTCTGAATAAATTACCTTCTCTGAAGGAGCTGGACAGGACACACAGGAGGAGGTAGAAGGCATTGGAAACATGGGATCCACACGAACTCAGGGTATTCTCTCCGCTAAACCACGTGCGAGTGAGAGCGCGCCTCAGCCCAGGTGACAGCACCAGTTGGCTGGAGGGATGCAGTGATAAGGCCGATGAAGTTTCTGACCCCCAGCAATGCAGTGTATGCACTGCTCAGCTACACCCCAGTCCTAAAACCCCCTTGTTGCTGCCCGGGGCCCTCGCTGTTCACCATCACGTTCATACTTGCGCAGGCGGCTCTGCTCGTGTACCTGTGCCAGCCACAGCGTGCTCTGCGGGGGTCATCGGCTGTAACAGGCCCAGCTCTCCGGGACAGATTTCTTGGGGCATTTTGACTAACATTTGCATAACCTGTCAGATCTGTGTGGGAGCTTTCACATCCCTTATTGCTGAAGCCGAGTCACGGAGGGCTGCTCCAGCTAGCAGCAGGGGGTTACTGCTCTGGAATCTCAGCTGATGACTCAATGCAGGAGAATGCAATAGTCACATACTGTGTCACACTGTTTTATAACTGATGATAGCCTACAGCCAAATTAGAAAAGAAATCAAGAGGTTCTTAAGAGAAGGGTCCGAGCTGATGAGGCCACGGTATGATTGCACAATGCAATGCATCCAGAGTAAAAGCAAAATGTCACTGGCCAGAAATAACCAAAGCAAGAAGATCCCCAATGGAGAAACATACTCATCTTCGTGGATGCACCCGTACTGATGCAATAAGCCTGGGTGTGTTATCTAGCTCTCCCCAATGACCAGACTCACCGAAGGGCCTACCAAAAAGCACAATACAACAATCGAAGCTGGAAATGAGGAAAATTCCAAGCACATGAGCAGCATCCCTGATCACCGTCTTCTTCCTACAGTGCTAAGGGCTGGGGCATGCGGAGCACGCCCCGCTTAGGAGGCTCGAGAAGGGGAGGAGGGAGCCAGGAGACTAGAGGCAGAGCTGGAGGCTGAAGCTGCCTTTCCTCTCCATGCACCTTTATTAAAAGCTGGGTGAATTTAGACCACAGAAGACTGAACACAGAAGCCCACTATGATTGCTACTGTCAATATGACCTGACGTTTAGAGGAGATTTTTGACCCATAAGCAGAAGATCAGAACAGCTTGCACGTCACCTCTGCAGCCATACAGCCTTGACTGCAGAAGAGAGGAGGGGAGCGAGCCTGTCCTTAGCAGCAGAACGGGGCAAGCTGGGTGCGACTCAGAGGCTGGCAGAGTATGAACCCCATCTGCTCCCTCTGCCTTTGCTACCAATCTGTCCTCTGCTAAGAATACAGCATCAGTGCACATCTGCTCCCTACCTCCACAGCTGGTCCCATTCCGAAATCCCGGCACAGCCTCATGTGGCTCCCAACCACACGCCCCATATATTAGTGGTCTGGGAGGTGCATCTCCCCTCAGTGTGTCATCTCTGGGCAGGGGGAAGGGCAGCATTAATTTATGTCTGTACGGGCCCCGAATGTACATCTCCTTTTCTCTAAGGGAGTTTGCTCTCATATTTAACCTCCTCATCCTGCTGGCACTGGAGGCGGATGATGCAGTTTGTAGAGGTGCAGGCACTTCACTCTCCCCCTCCCCCTGGAATCTTCCTCTCACTTGTGGTCCTTGGGATTCACCCAATGTTTCTCAGAAAAAAAAAAAAGAGGACCTCAAGACAAGTATGCATTTAATAAGCAGTGAGACAAATAAGCTCCAGTT